TGTTTTGGTCTGTTCATGCCTGTTATGTATGAGGAGTAGAGCCTTAGGTGTTTACCAGGGCAGGGCCACCCAGGTCGCTGGTTTGTGACGCTGTATGCGGGGGTGGGGTCAGAGAGGGACAATAGCGGTCCCCTCTGCCACTTCCCACTGCTGGGGCCTGAGCAGTCTGTCTCACTGCTCACTCCTTCACCAGTTTATCTGTACTCGAATGTGTGACCGCGGTCAGCCCTCAGTGGATCCACCCACAGCTGCCGGCGCGCCTGGGTTGTGCGCCCAGGTCGGTCCAGTGGATCTTTCCTGCCCAACCCTGCTCTGCTGCTGGCTCTGCCCCTCTTACCGGTTTGGCTGAAGGGTTCGTTGTTGTTAGACTTCCATATAATTAAATTTTCTGTGGTTTGGCTGCGTTTTTGTTGCTAAAACTTTGTTGTTTTTAAACCTGGTTGTGGGAGAAGGCACAGTGTGTCCACTTACGCCTCCATCTTGGCCGAAGTCCAGACCATTACTTCTGGTGGGAAAGCAAGAAGAAGCTTACAGAAGTGAAATGTTATCTCTAGCACACAGAGACACAACGTTGTCTCTAGTGCACAAATGTTACCTGTAACAATCATTATCTCTGGCACTCAGGGACAAGCAAGAAACAAAGGGAAAAAACAAGTCATTTCCTGGGTGCTGTGCTATGTTTTAAAATAACTGCCAATTTCCTCTAACAGATTAAGAACTGGAGATCACAGAGACACAACTGATGGTGCTGGGGACTGCGGGAGGCCTGCCCAGCTGAGCTCGGGTTACTGGGAGGGACTGGGAGTCTAGCCGAGCTATGGACTTCTGTTTCTTTTCCTGAGATACGGTACCCCTGAGACTGCCCTGACTGGGCAAAGGGAAGGAAGGCTGTGTGTGTGTGTTTGTGGATGCTTTAAAGGGACTTTGGGATTTTAACAGCAACATTCCACCATTACTCTAAACCTGTATAACTTTTGAATAAATAGTTCCTTTCCTTTTCACCACACTCTGGCATTAAGAGCCACACTTCCTAATAATTGGTGGCGGGTGAGAAGGACCATGGTACAGAAAGACCCCGGGGGAAGGGGCTTGTAACAGCATCTGGGCTCCCTACTTGGGTTCCTTTCGGTAACAATGTGACATTCTAGTGACAATGTTATGGGAGAAAAAACCCTGAAAATACAGGACTGGATTTCAGAGAAAGCCAGGCTAGAGACAAATCTGGAAGTCACCTGCAGCAAAAATATAAACGGGCTTTCAGAGAGGCAGGGGAAGGGAGAGGGCAGGGTCTGCAGGGCAGTGGTCTCCAGGGGTCAGTCACCAGATGGAGCAAAGGGAGCATGCAAGGAGCAAGCATCAAAGGAGACAGAAAACAGCACTCAGAGTCCTGTTCTGTCGATTCCACACCCACCCTTCCCACTCCCCCTTCAGACATGCCATGAGACAGTGAAAGTAAAGGGGCTTTATAAGTTGTTTCACATTGGGTTTTAATAATTAAGAAGAGAAATTCTATAGGGGACTAGAAGTGAGGTGAAATGGCTGGAAGAGAGGAGCTCAGGCTTTACTTCTCTTCGGGCTGATTTCACTCACAAGCCCCATAGCTCTGGGCTCTCTGTGGCCGGTTGCTTGTGTCTCTGCCTGGGGATTATGAGAGCTGACCAAGGATTTAAATTGAAGCAGCATTTGTTGAAGTCATATTTTCACTTGACTGGGCTTTATTTAGACTCAGAGCCTAGCTCTAAAAAGGAATTAAGGATGATATTGACACTAAGATTTTCAAGCTAGACACAAAACCTTTATCAGGCAGTTGTTACACTCCATTTCACTCCTGGATTCTAAGGGAAATAAAAGCAGCTGCTATGTGTGCTCATGCTGAGAGCTGAGGGTTTGAGGGGAGGATGAAGGTGGGTCTGTGGCACAGTAGGGGTCAGAATCACAATCAGTGAGGGCTACAGTCAGTACTGACTTTCACAGAAATGCCAAAAAGAAGTTTATTATCTTTGCTTCCAGCAAAAGAATGGGACTATGCAAGCCAAGTCCCTGGGACAGGGACCCTTCTCCCCTCCGGCTCTTCATGGCCTCCATGTCCTCTATGATCGATGGACAATAATACACCTACCAGGTCCAAGGTTCCAAAGTGAAGCAGCACCTGGTCACTGGAGGCAGGAGGTAATTTTCCTCTCCTCACCCTTAACTGACGCACAGGGAAGTTGCCATCAAAATGTCTGGGTGCCAGAGTGAACATGGGCTGCAGAGCATTTGGAGACTCACTAGGACATGAACTTTCAAGAAAGAATTAAAAACTGGCCAGGGCCACGGTTCTAGGAGGAGTAAGATCAGTTTTATTCTTACCAGGAAACCTGCTGCTCCCTCTCAGCAGGGTTCCTGGAGGTAGGGAGCTGGGCACTGGGACAGCTGGACTCCTGGATTCTGAGAGTTGCTCCCACAGCATGTCTGCCTTACTTCCTTGTCTCATGTGGCCAGAGCTGTGGCATTTATAGTTGCCACAGGACAGGGAGGTTTTGGGGCCCTTTCTCTTCAGGGAAGAGAAGCTGTCAGAGGCGGAAAGACCCACCCTGGGGCCAGAGGTCAGCAAAAATAATTTCTTTTCTCTAGAGATGTCTCATTTCTAGGACAGAGTCATTTCTGGGAGGCAGAGGAGAAAGAAATGGGTCTTCTCCTCATGCCAACAAGCATTGTCCAGGGCAGGGGGGGCTGTAAAAGCTGACAGTCAGCTACAAGGGGACTGGGCCCTGTGAGGGGGGACAGAGACCTGCCAGGCTAGTTCAAAGGTCTCAGAAGGTGACAGAGGTGACAGAGAGTGGCTGACAGGAAACACCTGGCCTGGGGTACTGACTGTGCAGCCAGAAGAACAAGGCTCTGGGCCCAAATCCAAAAGGGCTGAAAGGGAAGACCTGACTCTGGAGGAAGAGGCGGGATGCACTCTGGCACAAATCTCAACTGCACTTTGTTTCTTAGGTGGTCCTGTGACATCCCAGTCATCAGGGCCATGCTGCCAGCGGCACAAGGATCCTGGTGCCACCAAGGAACAAGGTGAAATTGAATTTGGAAGAAAATAAACTCCGTTCCACAGGTGCCGAGAGGATGTGAACTCTTCTCCTGCATGAGCAACATGCCTCCAGAGGAAGTGGCAGGGTGCCTGGTGGTTGGGGCTGTGTGCAGGGAAACACAGCAAAAGTCCAGAGTTCTGCCAGGGTGCGCGGTGGTGGAAGTCAAGCTGCAGGCAGTCTGGGTGGGGCCAGAGAAGGGTGTGGCAACCGGAACTGCTGGATCCGCTCACACTCTGGCAGCTGGGCAGCTCCTCCCAGGTAGCTCGCTTCTTGCGACTCCTGCAGATGCTGGAGACCTTGAACACTCCTGTGTTAACTAGCAACAACCGGGAGCCCCGGCCAGTGGAGGCCTGAAGTAGGAGTGAGTGCTGAGCAAATGAGAACGGAGGCCAGGTGCCCATTGCCCCGCTGCGCTCGCCCCCTGGCCACCCAGCCCCCGGGGTCTTGGCCACTGTTCCCAAGAGGTGCTCTCCCCAGGGGCCCGGGGAGCCATAAGCGTGAGAAGAGAGCCACTCATGAAATGTTTTTTGCCAAAGGAGAGCCCAGGCCGGAAGTTTGTTAAAGGGGTTCCCCTAGGTTACAAACTGATCATTAGTGGGGAAAGAGAAGTGGGAAGAATTGCCCTTCTGCCCCATTTGCCCTGGAAATGAAACACCTCCCCACTTCCCCATCACACACCCTTTGACCCCAGTGCTCCGTGTTGGTGCCTTGGCAGGGGCAAAGGTGTGTTTGCTTTATTTTGTTTTGGCTTTTTAAATTAGGGTTCAGGGTAGGGAAATTCAGTGGTTAGAGGCTGGGATTATGGGGTATCTGCTTCTCTCTCAGGGCCAGTGACATCCCTGTCCTAGCAGCTGCCAAATGCTACATCACCATCTGTGCAGATGACTAAAAATGGGGCATCCTGCTTGTTTTTCTCAGTCACTTCAGCCCTCTCCCAGGACCCAGGCGGCCCTCTTTGCCTCAAGGTTCTCTCCAGGGGCCTAGATCTGGAGCCCTTCTGGCACCTGGCATGCCTCCTTTCTGGGACCCAGGCAGAGTGGGTGTCTGGTGAGAAACAGACCCTCAGGCTGAAGCCTTCCAGCCCAGATCCAAGCTCTGTCAACCATTTAGTCTCATTAGTGTCCAGATTAGGATTAGGATTACTGATTAGGATAGGCTGCCAGTGGCCCACAAGTGGAATGCCAAATTTAGCGAAGAGCAACCCATGGCCCTGCTATCTGATGCTGGGTGGAGTTATGGTTGGTAGGCCTATGGCAAACCAGGTGCCTTTTTGATCAGCAAAGACACTCTGGTGAGAGTAAGGCTTAGGCTCCATGGAGGATGCGTGGCAGTTATGCTGCAACTGACATTTGGTCACAGTATGGGTTTGGAGCAGGGCTAACATAACTATGGCACATGGCAGATGCCCATAAATACTGGGTTTCATGCATTAGAGTATTGTTTTATTCTGTGTAGTACTGCCTTGTTATAGCTTACTGAGTTATTGAATTTAAATTTTCCTGTATTTGTGTCTCAGGTGGGAACTGTGTCTTAAAGTTCTTTATCTTCCTCAACAGAAAGTATAATAGGTACTTAGAAATACTTGCTTATTAAATAACAAGTTTTTCCCTCATTTTGTCAGCATGTAATTGAGCTCTGCATGAACTCAGCCCAGCTCATCTAAATCCAGGAGTGAGCCATTTTAGGAGCAATAGAAATTCAATCTCCTCTTTTTTCACCCTCCAAAGATATTCAGTCCTGTCCTGTAGCCAGTCCTGCTCAAGGTCATCTACAAGTTTACAGCCAAGGCTAGAAACACCAGTTAGCACTTTCTTCCAGCTGATAGCCCAATAACAATGATGTCCTTACTTTGTAAATATTTTCTACTTTATTATAAAAAGACTGATAGCTACAAGGAAGTTATCTATCATCTGTCAACTCTCTCTTTCTACCTCTGTTCAATCAATAGTAGGTAAAAGGGCTTTAATAAGTTGGAGAAAAAAATCGAGAAAACATATAGGTGAAATGCTTACTAAGGAGGAATTTGGAATCTGGGATGAAGGTGTGAAGAAAGAGGATGGGGCAGTAAAGAAGACTGGCGAGTGGCTTTGGTGGAAGAGACAGAAAAACAAAATCCTGAGTGCAGAATACCATCAGGGAAGGTCTGGGATGGGTATCAGTGGATGAGACTGCAGGCCAAACAAAATCCCTCCTTGTGCAATTACCCAGCAAGCCAACCCTGCAGGATGCCCACCATAGACATTTAGAAAAAATAAGGGATTTGAGAGGAGGAGGAAAGAACCATCTCAATGAGAGATATTTATGATCTTTCCTGGAATTTTTGTTTCTGCTGGGAATGGAGAGAATGGAGAAAGAAATAAATCTTGTTTTCCCTCTAAGATCCAATGTTTACATTGGAGGAGAAGGAGAAAGAGAAGAAGGAGGAGGAGAAGTGGAAGAGGAGGAGGAAGGGGAAGAAGATGAAGAACAACTACCACCCTGGGAATTCAGAGACCAGCCTGTTTACACACTCTCTAAATAACAGTAGATGGAAATAATATAGATTGTCCTTAGTCTCCCCCTTCTCATAAGTCCACCTCACAAGCCATATCTGGGCATTGCCCTCAGAGGCCTCCAAACTTCCATTAGTTGTTCTTGCCCTCCCAGCATCAATGTCCTATATTGGTCCCCATCCCAATTGTCCAAGATATATCTCTTTGTTCTCCAACCATCATCTTCTACAGAGAACACTTGTTTGTATTACTGGTACTTTCTTTTCTATCTCTCAAACTCACATCCTTCTTGCTATCACCTCATCCCTTGACCAGTTCCAATAAGAACACAGCAGACAAAGGGTTGATGCTGTTAACTGTCAGTATTTTGCCCTTCCTATAGTCCAGGAAATAGGAATTGTGAGTCTAATTCCTCATCCAGGAAAGGGGTAGGGCGTGGAAGAGCTGAGGGCAGGCACTTTCTGAAAAATCATCGTGGGGAAGGGATCTGGCCCACACCAAGTGTCTGCTGCTCCATCAGGTAGACTGGGTAAGAATTGGGGCCCCCACCATCCTCTGAGTCGTTGTTCTCAGTGTTGTGAATCAGTGCACATCGTGTTCGCATCATGTGGAAGATCTGGGATTGGGAGGAAGGAGAAATGAGTATCATCTGCCATAACATTTGCTTCCTCAACACCCCTATCTCAGGCCCTTTTCTATTCCCTGACCCAGACCTTCAGCTTGCTTCTTTCCCAAGATTCCATATAAACCTGATTCTTATTCCAGCCCCTGATCCCATACAGAGTCCCAGATCTCTTCCTCCTTCTTCTGTCCTATTTTCTTTTTTCTAACAAAATTTCCCTCTTCTACACAATTTTTCCTGATCCATAGCCTTCCCTCAATTCTATATTTCATGTTCCATGCATCTATTGTCTTTTGCATAGTTTTCACCACAACTGCCCCTCTATTGCCAACCCCCATGCCTCTTCTGCTACAATCATTATTCCCTCTAGTTCTGATCCATAACCTCTACTCAGCCCCCTGTCCAATGGGCCCATTACCCTGGAGCATCCCTGTACCTTACCAGGAAGATCAGGCCAAGGAACACCAGCAGGAGAATTACAGCCACCAGGACCACAATAACTATGGCCCATGGAGGGAATGAATCATCCTTCCCCACTTCTCCAACATGGAGACCTCCCCCTGAGCTATCTTTGTTCTGGTGTGGATGGCTCTTGTTGGCTGGGGCTTCTGACATGACAGAACTCAACTCCGTGCTGAATGTGGAAAGTGTAATAGAGCCAATGGGCAGCTGAGGGGTATTCTCAGTTCTTTTTGGATGAGTGGAGAAAGTAGTGATAGACTGGTCTCCTGTGACCTTGATTGGAGATCTTATAGTCTCTGTGCCAGCTGTGTTGCTTGCTAGGTTTTCTGTAGGCTTTGATAGAATTGCTGTGATCTTCCCTCTATTAGGTGTTGTCTTCTTTGTGTGTACTATAGGCTTTCCTGAGGCTCCTCTGGATTGCTCTGTGGCTACAGTAGTCTTCAGTTGGTGTCCTGTAGTCTTACTTGAGCCTCTCGTGATCTTATGGGTCAGTGTGCCCTGCTGTCCCTGTTCTGTAGGCATTGCTGTGGCTGTTGTGATCTCATGGACCAATGTGCTCTGCTGTCCATGTTCTGTAGGCATTGCTGTGGCTGTTGTGATCTCATGGACCAATGTGCTCTGCTGTCCCTGTTCTGTAGGCATTGCTGTGGCTGTTGTGATCTCATGGACCAATGTGCTCTGCTGTCCCTGTTCTGTAGGCATTGCTGTGGCTGTTGTGATCTCATGGACCAATGTGCTCTGCTGTCCATGTTCTGTAGGCATTGCTGTGGCTGTTGTGGTCTCACGGACCAATGTGCTCTGCTGTCCCTGTTCTGTAGGCATTGCTGTGGCTGTTGTGATCTCACGGACCAATGTGCTCTGCTGTCCCTGTTCTGTAGGCATTGCTGTGGCTGTTGTGATCTCACGGACCAATGTGCTCTGCTGTCCCTGTTCTGTAGGCATTGCTGTGGCTGTTGTGATCTCATGGACCAATGTGCTCTGCTGTCCCTGTTCTGTAGGCATTGCTGTGGCTGTTGTGATCTCACGGACCAATGTGCTCTGCTGTCTCTGTTCTGTAGGCATTGCTGTGGCTGTTGTGGTCTCACGGACCAATGTGCTCTGCTGTCCCTGTTCTGTAGGCATTGCTGTGGCTCTTGTGATCTCATGGACCAATGTGCTCTGCTGTCCATGTTCTGTAGGCATTGCTGTGGCTGTTGTGATCTCATGGACCAATGTGCTATTTTGTCCATGTTCTGTAGGCATTGCTGGGGCTCTTGTGATCTCACGGACCAATGTGCTCTGCTGTCCCTGTTCTGTAGGCATTGCTGTGGCTGTTGTGATCTCATGGACCAATGTGCTCTGCTGTCCCTGTTCTGTAGGCATTGCTGTGGCTGTTGTGATCTCATGGACCAATGTGCTCTGCTGTCCATGTTCTGTAGGCATTGCTGGGGTTCTTGTGATCTCATGGACCAATGTGCTCTGCTGTCCATGTTCTGTAGGCATTGCTGTGGCTCTTGTGATCTCACGGACCAATGTGCTCTGCTGTCCCTGTTCTGTAGGCATTGCTGTGGCTGTTGTGATCTCACGGACCAATGTGCTCTGCTGTCCATGTTCTGTAGGCATTGCTGTGGTTCTTGTGATCTCATGGACCAATGTGCTCTGCTGTCCATGTTCTGTAGGCATTGCTGTGGCTGTTGTGATCTCATGGACCAATGTGCTCTGTTGTCCATGTTCTGTAGGCATTGCTGTGGCTCTTGTGATCTCACGGACCAATGTGCTCTGCTGTCCCTGTTCTGTAGGCATTGCTGTGGCTGTTGTGATCTCATGGACCAATGTGCTCTGCTGTCCATGTTCTGTAAGCATCGCTGGGGCTGATGTTATCTCATGGACCAATGTGCTTTGCTGTCCATATTTTGTAGGTATTTCTGGGGCTCTTGTGATCTCCTCACGGGCTGATGTCTTCTGTTGTCTATGTTCTGTAGGCATCACTAGGGCTCTTGTGGTGTTCACCTGGACTGAAATGGTCTTTTGTCCGTGATATGTAGGTTTTACTGGTGTTTGTTTGTTCTTTTCAGTGGCTCTTGGAGTCTCTTTTGTTTGTTCTCTAGTATTTATCAGTGTCTTATCTGAAGCTACTGTAGTATTGTAATTAGCAGGTGTTGTATGATCATCAACTTTTTTTTTACTTTCTGTGGTTCTTGTCTTGCATGATGCCTTGTATGTTGTGCTTTTTTCTGAGGAAAATGTGGGTCTATTGCTGCTCTCTGATTTAATTGAGTGGTGGGAAAGAGTTGTGGTGCTCTTACTGTCTAATGTAATGATGGTATTTTCCAAAGGTGTTACAGTTTTAAAGGCATTTCTCTTTACTATTGGTGTGCTTATTTTGTACTTAAGACAAGTTGTTTTACTCTTGGGTTTTGTAGTTGGGTATGTTGCATCCGATAATTTTTTGTATGTGTTACTAGAGTCAGCAGAGCGCCCATTCCGGATAATTGGGTCTTTTCCATGATTGCTGGGGTTTTGTTCAGAAGTGGGAGCAGCTTTATGATGAGGTGTAAAGTTTTTGGAGTTCTTTATAGGTTTGTGAATTGGCCTAAAATGGTGTGTGGCATTGCAGTGGTGTTTAGGTTGATGGGGTTCTGGAGATTTAGGGTGGTCTGGAGAGCTTTGTCCTAAATGAAGAGCAGTGTGGTCAGAGGGAGTAGCATAAATAAGGTTTGGTGTAGGAGGAGATAAATGATCAGATGTTGGGGATTCACCAGGGTTCTGAAATTCTTGAAATGTGCTAGCACCTGTAAAAAGAGAGAGTGAAGTAAGAAACTTTCTGCATGATCTTCCCTGCTTCCCTGACCACCTTCTTCTCTAGGGGTCCCTTTATTACCCCAAATATATCTCTTCAGCCAGTCTCCCCAGAATACTATAATATCTAATCCCAATTCTCACCTCCAGTCTCTGAACCTTTTTTGGGCTGTGCCTTCAGTAAGAATCTTACCTCACACTTCCCCACCTCTATTCCTCAATTCTAACTTTTAGATCTTTGTGGCATTTTTCCTGATCTTTTCAAGCAGATCTAGTTTTACCTCAGTGCTCAAAAAAATTTTTGTTAGTTATTTTTTCCTGCTATCTGCAACTTGACATTACAGTTATCTGTGTGCCTATCAACTTCTCCACACTTCCCTGCCTATCAAGTCATAAGTTTTGAAAGCAGGTATTGACTGGCATTTTGCTCTGCAAGTGCTCCTTTAGAATTTATATAATGTTTATGGAATGGAGTTCCTTTTCGATGACAGAGCTGATAAGAAAGGTAATAAATATTAGAAGCTTCATCTTTCCATAACATTCCAGCTCCAAAGATCAGAGCTCCTGCAGAATTTCCCATAAGAGTTAGTAAGTAGACATAGTGATAAGTGGGAGAAGGAAAAGAAGAGGAATGAAGAACAGGAAACTTAGACTTTGATGATGGAATTCAGTCTGGGTGAAGGGAAGTAAATGAGATGACTCAACTCTCTGGTTCCCCCACAGATCCCCTCTTGGAAGATCAGAGCTAAAGCCATCTTGGATAGATGAAGGTGGCCCGCTTACAAGACAAAATATCTGCTTGGGGGTCCTGAGAAGAGTGAACAAGACAGCTGGATTCTGAGAGACACTATGTTTAAGGACAGGGTGTGAAAAAAAACACCCCTATCAATGAACAGATATGAGCCTGAATTCTACGGAAAACAACCCATGGGGACAGAGTAGCTGTCTGAGTAAGAGCCAGGAGATCACCAAAGAATGAGAGATAGTGTTGTTACATAACCCACTTTTCCAGTTTCTGTTAGCTCAAGGTGGAAACCAGAACATGGACCCATTCCCAATCTCAGGAAACCACATTCCACCCAGCTCCCTGCTGACAAGGACAGTTGGGAGCTGGGGGACTCAGTCCTTGAAAGAAATGTGGGTGGGAGGAGAAGGGAGAGGTAGTAGAAAAGCCCACGTCTCTGAAGGGAGTCGAGGCCATGGCATTGGGGTGAGAGAAGAGGGCTCAAGCACCAGGTGCCTCCACTGTGCCCACCCTGCTCTCCTACTCCCTCTGCAGCAGTAGCTCTCTCACTGGGCCCTTCTCCAGCCAGGCACTCCACTTATTGCCTCATATACAGTCTCTTTCTGGGTTCTCCTTCACGGTGACTGATTTCCCAGCTCCCCACAAGGCACCTTAGAAGCTGTCAACTTCCCTATTTTACAGCCCAAAAACGAGTTTCAGGGAGAAATGGTGACTTGCACACAATCCCTGCAATAGTAATGGTCAACCAAGAACACTGACTGTGAGACAGGCAGGTCCTGCAAAGGACGATGTATACTAACTTGCTTACTGTTCACAACAACCCTTTAAGGTTGAGAGCTATTTGTTATTCTCCCTTTTTTATATATGAGAAAACAAAGTTCAGGGGTCTCCAAGCACCCTCATGAGGTAAGAGGTTAAACCAGAATGGAACACACATTCTTGGCTCCCAGACCCCAGAGCCACACTGCACAGCTTGTAGGTCAGCCCAGACCCTTTGGGCAGGGAGAGCACAGACATTTGTGGAATCCCTGAAGGATGCTGTTCTTCATTTGTTTATTTCATCTTCACTACAAACCTGTGAGGCGAGTGTATAATCTTACAGTCTGACAGGTGAGGAAAGGAGGTTCAAAGATGTTAAGTAATTGGCAAAGTCAGACTTTTCTCTACATCCTAGATGCTTTTAGATGTGATAAGGGGTGAATAAATGCCCAGCCAGAGAATAAACAAGTGGGCCACAGCATAGCGTGGCAACTCCACTGCCTAAAGAACACAGGCCAGGACTGGGATCCAGGCTGGTGCCACACCAGCTTCGCATCCTTACTCAGGTGACCAAAATGCTCTGAAGCTCCATGTCCCCAGCTGTCTATAACAGTGATGCCAGCTGCAACAGCTTAGTGTGAGGACTGAGGGAAGCGGAGTGGAGCTGACTCTTTAAAGTGTTTGTTGAATCCGAATTGTAGTCTTTGAAACAGTTTGACACTTTGCCCTGTTCTCCTGGTAGCAGGGGAGCTGGAGACACAGGCCTGCCCTCCTGCCTGGCCCACCTGTACTATGCACCTCTGAGCCACTGTCAGACCACTTCCCCCGGGGCTTATCAACATAGCACTTGCCACTTTCTAATAGACAATAAGTTATTTAATTCCCATAATGTCAGGGATTTTAATTTGTTCAATGATGTCTCCAGCCAGGAACAATGTCTAGCCTATTATAGGCACTTCTTAAATATTTGCTGAATGGGTAAATGAGAGAATATCTTGAAACTACTGAACTCTTCAAAAACCTTGCCAACAATCTTTCATTATGCATGTTTAAAAAAAAAAAACATATTGTGAGCTCCAAAGGTTGGAAGATCGGGGGTAACTTCTGCTATATTAGGTGCTAAGCCTCTGAGTTGGAAAGAAGGTGACAGACCTCTAGCCCACCAGTTCTGGGACACCACCTCTCACTGAACCACACGGTCAATAACTAGACTCAGCAAATTAGATCTTAAAATTCATATCCACATCACATAGCTGTGGAAATACGGCCTATGAAATCTGACCATCAAAAATGGCTACTACATTTACAATGAGTCAAGCTCCAGGGTTCCCTGGTCCTGGGCCCAGCCATGAAGTAAATCAGAGACTAACCCCCAGGACAAGCTAACCATCTTTTCTCTCCAGTAGATCTACCATTGGTAAAAACTTTATTTCCCTAGGAATTTCTCACTGTGAGATTCATTTCACTGACTACAATAGTGGCCTATAGAGGATCTTTTTGATCACTGAGGTTTAGGCAGAGAAGAAAATCTGGCTTTAGCAGAAGACACTGGAGATGTGTGCTTAGCTTGGATAAAAGAATGAAAACGAATCTCAACATCAAAACTGTACAATTCCAAAGTTCTATTCAATATGCTTCACTCACGTGTTTGAAAAGCAGGCAGACAGGCTGCCATCAGAGCAGCCTCCCCTAAGCAGCACTTCTGGTGGTTCTTGGTGTCCTACTAATGATGTAGTTAAATGCTTGTTAAATGTCTACAAAATGTCAACATGTGACCTAAAACATAGACATGGTGAAAAAAGACTAAAGGGAAATACACGGAAATGGTTGCCCAGATGACTAGAAAGTATTGAGAGATTTTCTTTCTAATTTTTTTCTGTTTTTCAGTTTATAGAATGAATATATATATGTAATTTGCCATAGAAATAAGTAAAATAACATTTACTATAGGAAAATGTCCATTCTGGAGTCTCCCCAGGACCCCAGGAGCCCAGCCCCAGGTGTGCTCCCTCAAAGATGATGCCATCCCAACTCTGCCCCTAAGGTTCTGCGGCTGCACCATGCAGACCCTGGGGTCCTAGGGTCCAGTTATCTAAGTCTCAGTATGGACTGGTCTTGTAGATAAATAAATCCAACCATCACTCTTCCCTCCCTCCCTAGCCTCCCTTTCTGCTGGACAGTCGTGCTCATATGCAGTTCCACCCCAGCCCAGCCTTAAGCCTCCCACATCTCACCACCCCGTGGATCTGAATATCCAACCACCCATGCCTGCTGGCCATTTTCCAGATCACACCCACCCACCCAGTGCATCCTGCTCTGGAATTCAGATTGCAAGTCTGCCTTGTGCCCATCCTGTGCCCTAGAGTAAATGTCTCTCAGGAAGTGAATATGCATAGTTAACTCATTCCCTTCTGACCTTACAGGTACAACAGGTTGTGCATAGCTACAGGTGGCACCTGATATCAGCCCCAGGGAAATACAGAGGTTCTGGAGCCTCTGTATTCAGACCCTCAAAGTGGGAGGAAGCCATCAAGTCAGGACACAGACGGAAGGCAGTGCTGAGCCCTACCAGAGGCAACCTGAAGGCTTCTTAGACCCTATCCCACCACCCACCATCCTCCAACTCCCACCCTGTCCACTCTGGCCCCAGCAAAACCCTGTGCTCAGGGAAGGAGAATCTCCCCCTGATGTCCCCCTCAGTCACACACACTTGGAAGGAGAAGCTGCTGCTTGTCCCTCCCCAAATACTGCCCAGACTCGGCTTTCCTGGCCCTGGCTGGGAGCAGCAACGCCACTACTGTGAATAACCCTGTCCACTACAGGGACAATCTGTCTGAGTCTATTTTTGCATGTCTGCCTAGTGAAGACCCTCCCCCAAACCACTCAGGCCTGCACCAAGCTGCATCTGTGTTTGGCATGTCCCTTCCCTGGGTTCAGTCACAGAACTGTTTCTTAACTAAGTGACCTAATTTGGTGATTTCACTTTATCTTGTAGGGTCTGCTTAGCGCATCAAAGTTGTCCATATTCATTTTCTCATCAAAGCCCTGGGATGTTTCCCAGCTTTAAAGTGGAGACAAAACCACACACCCTTTTCAAGTTGCCATGAGGGTTCAATGAGCCACCGTGGGTGAAGTGCCTAAACCAATGCCTAGCACACAGTAACTGCTCCACAGGCCGTCAGGCATTTGCACTGGCCAGGCAGCGTGCTTCCTGTTTCATAGACATGTGGATTAATTAAATGAGCTGGAGTCAGGGCAGAGCCCAGGTCAGCATAGGACGGGACTCTCAGGAGAGAATGTACCCTGTGCCCCAAGAGCGACAAGCAGCGTATGGAGTGGCCAAAGCCAGCTTGTCTCCAAAGCTTGGGCAATACCCTTAAGCTTTCTGAGTCTCACTCTCCTCGCTATACAAGGGGATATTATTAACCACCTCAAGGGATTTGAGGAGACGAAATGAGATGAAGGACCATAAGAATCCGAGTTCCTCGAATAGCTCAGAGCATGTTTAGTCCCTGCTCCCCACACGGCATCTGTGTGCAAACTAGAAGAAAACCCCTCTACATAGCTTCAAAGAGCATAGGCTAGATTTCATTGCCAGCATGCTCCTTAGCTGGCACACCTGAACAGTGCACAACTGGACTACTGTATGCAGCAGTTTGTCCCTACCCCCCTTTCCGCCACAACTTCATCTGCTGTCATTTCTATGATTGCTAAGAAATGACCCCTGTCTTCTATCCCCCTGTGTAAAGGCGACTCCTTCGCCTCTGAAGGCACCTTACCTGCCCCCTGAGTAGCCAGAAGGAAGAGGAGGCAGTACTGGAGGCCGAAGTCAGAGCGGGTGCAGTGAGCTGGCTGGGCCATGGCGGTGGCAGCGGCGGTGGTGGCAGAGGGTCAGCTGCTTGAGGCTGACAGCTGGGGTACTCTCATCTTATACAGGGCCAGTTTGACATCATGGGGGCTGGGGCCCCTCAGGCCTAAACCTTGGACAAACAGAGCCGCACCACCCCACAGGGCTGCTCTGATAACAGACCGCAGCTGCTGAGTCAGGGAGCCAGGAATATAGGTGCCTGCCCCAGGGCTGGGATTGGAGGGAGGGCAAAAGAACTTGGAAGGTAGACTCCTGACCTTCTTCAGCAGGGTTCTGAGGTTGGGGGAGAAGATGGTAAGTTGTAGAAGGACTGGGTTCCGGCTGGGCAAGATGAGGAGGGAGAGATCGGATGCCCGGTACAAGAAGAGTTTCGAATTCTGTTTCTTCTCCAGCTTTACCTTCTATCTCCTGTCTAGCGCAGCAGCCCAGCTCACCACACCCCTTGCACACACAGGGCCACTCTTTTTGCCCTAGGTGGAGCTGCTTGAGGGGGTCAGGTGAAAGAGCAAAGGAGAGGCAGCCCTTACACGGCCCACCACTGCAGACCTGGGTGCCTGCAGGTAGGTGCCCAGAAAGAACACAGCATGTGGAGACAGCAGAGCAGCTGCAGAGACAAGACACCGAACCCCAGGAACTGACTGGACACGTCCCACAGGGATGAAGACAGGCACGGTAACCAGAGACACTGAAGAAAGACCTTTAACACCCCTGCCCTTTCCCCTCTTCCACCTCAGATCCCACCCACCCCTACACAGAAGTGCAGACCTCTCATCCCTAGGATTCTCCAGCCTCCCTCTTCTTTCCCTCCTGCACCCTTGCCTGAAGCAAGCCCTAGCCCAGAGACTGTCCACACTGGGGTTGAGGTGGGGGAAGGACAGACTGGGGGAACTCTGAGGAGAGGCAGAGCTGGGGGTCCAGGTGTCTCCATCACCACCCCATTGCTCACTTTACTGTGTTTACAGTGGGTCTCCTCATGGAAAGTCAGCAGCCATCAGACAAGGTCTTTGCCTTGGTCACTGCTGCCCCCACAGTGCCTGGCACAGTGTCTGGCTCACAGCAATCAGTGTTTGGTGGGCCAAATGGAGTGGAAGCCAAGGCTGGCCATTGCCCTTGTTGGGGAGTGGCATAGGCGCACAGGCAGAGAGGGCCAGGATGTAGAGGGCAAAAGGCCAGGGGCTGGGGCAGTGCAGTTCATGGGAGGGTGGGGAGAACTAGGGGGCTGACCATGTGAATTCCTCTCATTACTTGGTGTGATTAGGGCCCTGGGCAGGGCTGGAATGGGTGGGAAGAAGAGAAGAGGTCAATTGCTCATTACTGTGATTAATGGGAGATTAATGAGGCTCAATGGAGTCAGGCCAAGACTGACTATTCAGAACTGGGCAATGCCTCCTGCAGGATGGGGACCCGAGGCAGATGCAGGGCCCCCTGTAACTCCACCTGGACTCAGGAATGGCTGGAAGCCCCCTTTCCACTAGTCTGCTACCCCAGCCTTTCCCCAGGGACCTAGGAAGGGCAGTTTTGCTCCCCACGCCCCCACCCCCACCCCAGGGACATTTGGCAATGTCTACAGACATTCTTGTCACAACTTGGATGGGGCTGCTGCCAGCATCTAGCAGGCAGAAGAAAGAGATGCTGCTACACATCCTATAATGCACCCACCAGTCTCCACGACAAAGGACTCTCCAACCCCCATTTGTCAACAGTGCTAAGGGTGGGAATCTCATTGTGTGAATGATACCCCCGTTCTTTTTAGCCACAACCTCCCCAGAGGACCCAGGCATGTGGGGTAGAGGAACCTGAACCTCAGATACTTGTTGTGTCTGAGCTACAGGCTAAGGGTCTGGTCACAAAACAACCCTACCAGCCCGTGACCTTCGAGTATTGCTATGTAGCGAAGAGCATGCTGATCACCTCATTACCTGTGAGGTTAGCAATGTCAACCTCAGATCAGGAAAGGACTCACCAAAGGTCACAGCACTGGAGAAGTCAGAAATGATTAGTGCCTGCTGGATGGCAAAGCCCATGCACTTAGGCAAATGGAGACGAGTGGAGAGGATGTTGTTTTACTCAGCACTCACCCAGAGTGGCCAGGGGCCATCAGAGAGCAGGGCTCCTCACTGTCTGAAGCTGAGAGAATCAGCGGTCTTGGGAAGGCCAGGAGCTAGCACAAGGGGGCTCCATATGGAAAAGGATGTGGAGGGGAACCCCCCTCCTGTTTCCTGGGGACACGAGCAAAGTATCCTCAGCTAAGTGGTATCTCTGATAGTTGAGGAAGAGGGTGGGAATGTGGAGAAACTGTAAGGGACAGACTCCATCATGGCTGGAAGACCCGGAGACCATCTAGTAGTGTTCGTCCTTCCTTTCACAGGTGAGGACACTGTGTCAGAGAGGTGAGGCAGCAGCCAGCAGGCTGGCCATAGGACCAGACCATGGACTTCCCTGTACTCCATTGTGGGAGGACACCTGGGGGTGCCCATGGCCACAGAGCAATGCACCCACAGGACACAGGCCTAGTTAGCCTGAATGGAAGGCTGGCTACATTTTTTTTCTTTTTTGAGCGAGGGGGAGACGGGGGGTCCTTAATTGTCTCCAATTTTTTTAGTTGAGGTAACATTGGTTTATAACATTATATAAGTTTCAGATGTACCACATTACAATTTGACATCCATATATACCACAGCATGCTCACCACCAAATTCTAGTTTCTACCTATCACCTGACAAATTGGCCCCTTTACCTAGTTCACCCTTCCCCCAATTGAAGGCCCTCTGGTAACCAACGATTTGTTGTCTGCCTCTCTGGGTTTGTTTTTGTTTGTTTGTTTGGGTTTTTGTTTATTTTTTGGAATGAGTCTGCTTAGGAAAGAAAGTAGAAAGCCCGAAGAGGAGGGGTATTTACTATCGTGGTTCCAAAACCACGATATCGAGTCCTTACTCAGTAAATATGCACATAAGGTACTTAGGTGTGCCAAGCACCTACGTGCCTTATGTGCATATAAGCTCATTTCACCCTACAATAGCCTTTGAGATGGATACTATCATTCTCATTTTATCCAGGATTCAATTACCTCATCTCTACAACAAGGGGTAATAATAATACCTATACATAGGTTTGCTAGGAACTAAAATAGGTTCAGCACCTGAATATAATAAGTGTTATTGAAGTATTACGTATTAGTAGTAGTAATGAGGAATCTGGAACACAGAGAGGTTAAATAACTTGTACAACATCACCCAGATATAATGTCAGAGCCAGGATTCAACCTGTGGCTCCATGAACCTGATTCTTCATGGCCAAGAGCTGAATTTAGCTGTAAGCGGATGAGCCTCCAGCACTCCCCAGCCTCTCTGTCAGTGTTCTCAAGCCCCCATTCCTGCCTGGTCAGTGTCTCCTCCAAGCCACCAGAACCAGGGTTCCTCCCCCCCATATCATCTCTAAGTGTGGCAAACAGCCGCCTTTCTCCCTAAAGCCCAGTGCTTGTCAGAGTGTTGGGGTACCAGGTCCCAGCCTCACTGGACTGAACACCCATGCATTCAATCCACAGCTTCACTCACCAACTTGATACCATACAGTAAGCTGATGATTGCTGCCACCACAGTGACCGTGATCAACACAATGGCCCAGTCTGGAACAAAGCCCTTCTCCTGAGGTGTCAGGCCTGAGGGGCAAAGAGACAGTGACTGAGGCAGGTGGGACCTCAACCCCCATTCCTCAACTTTCCACCTTTCCTTCTATGATACTCATGTTTCTGTGACTCTAAGACCACATTTCTCTGCAGAGTTCTCTCCCATCCTCTTGGGACCAGAATCTCAAAGGAGGGTGTTTTCAAGGCCTTCAACCCAAGAATTGGTAGAATCTGACGGACTGATTCTATAAAGATAAAAAGTCTGAGAACAGCCGAGGCAATCTGGAAGAGAAACAGAAGAGGAGGACCGGATTTCTGGCCAAAATGGAGGCGCAGGTGGAAATACTGTACCTCCTCACACAACCAAATTTAAAAACAACAAAGATTTTTAAACAAACATACAACCAAAACAGACAGAAAACTGAACTGTATGGAAGTCCGACAACAATGAATCATTCATCCAGACCAGTAAGAGGGGCAGACTCGGTAGCCAGCAAAGAGGGGCTGCAGCAGGGAAAAGCAGTGGCTGCCGTACCGACCCATGTGCACAGGGGGTGGCTGGCAGATCCCAGGTGCAGGGTGGCACTGGGCAGACCCAGTGAGGGCACAAGGCAGCTGGCTGACCACGGTCTCACACAGATAAACCAGGTGAAAAAATGAACAGTGAGACAGACCACGCTATGCAGGACCCCAGTGCTGGGAAATAAAACCTAAAAGCACTGATTGACTTGGGGTGGGGGGGTTGAGGTGCTGGGAGAGGCTCCCAGCCTCACAGGAGAGTTTCTTGGAAAGACCCACAGGATCCTAGAATGTTCACAAGCCCACCCAACTGGGAACCAGCACCAGAAAGGCCCAATTTGCTTATGGGAAGCAGCAGCGGGGACCAAAATCCAAGAGAGAGCAGAACAAATGCCATTGCTCCCTCTCTCACCCCGCCCCCAGTCACAACCCAGCGACTGGGCTGACCTGCCCTGGTGAACACCTAAGCCTCTGCCCCTCATATGTAATAGGTGCAACACGACCAAAACATTATTGCTCAAGCAGAAGAACATCTCAAAGCCCCAGAGCCAATACTTCTAAGCGACCAAGAAATAGTCAACTTATCAGATGCACAGTTCAAAACACTGATGATCAGGATGCTCACAGAACTAGTTGATTTTAGTCGCAAATTAGATGGAAAAATGAAGGCTACGCTAAGTGAAATAAAGCAAAATACAAAGGGAACAAATAGTGATGGAAAGGAAACTTGGACTCAAACCAATGGTGTGGACCAGAAGAAAGAAACAAACAACCAAACAGAAAAGAATGAAGAAATAAGAATTTAAAAAATTGAGGAGGGGCATAAGAACCTCTAGGACATCTTTAAACATTCCAACATCCGAATTATAGGAGTACTGGAAGGGGAAGAGGAAGAGCAGCAACAAGTGGAAAACTTATTTGAACAAATAATAAAGGAGAACTTCCCCAATCTGGCCAAGGAAATAGACTTCCAGGAAATCCAGGAAGCTCAGAGAGTCTCAAAAAAGGTGGACCCAAGAAGGAACACAGCAAGGCACATCATCATTACATTAGTCAAGATTAAAATGGAGGAGAGAATTCTAGAAGCAGCAAGAGATACAGGGACAGTCACCTACAAAGGAGTTCCCATCAGACTGTCAGCTGATTTCTCCAAAGAGACCTTACAGGCAAGAAGGGGCTGGAAAGAAGTATTCCAAGTCATGAAATCCAAAGACCTACATCCAAGATTGCTCTATCCAGCAAAGCTTTCATTTAGAATGGAAGGGCAGATAAAGTGCTTCTCAGATAAGGTCAAGTTCAAGGAGTTCATCATCACCCAGCCCTTATTATATGAAATGTTAAAGGAACTTATCTAAGAAAAAGAAGATAAAAAAGATGAACAGTGAAAGGACACCAAACTCACAGTTATTAACAACCACACCTAAAACAAAAGCAAACTAAGAGGACAGCTAGATCAGGAGCAGAGACATAGAAATGAAGATCTCATGGAGGGTTAGCAATGGGGGAGTGGGAGGAGGAGATGGGGAGAGAAGGTACAGAGAATTAGCATAGATGGTAGGTAGCAAATAGATAGGGTGGAAGGCAAGAATAGTATGGGAAATATAGAATCTAAAGAACTTGTGACACATGGACATGAACTAAGGGGAGAATGGGGGGGAGGGGATATGCAGGGTTGAGGGGAATGAAGGGGGGAAATGGGATGACTGTAATGGCATAATCAATAAAATATATTTTTAAAAAAACAACTGGAGGACTCATACTACCGGCTCGGCAGACTTGCTGAAGAGCTGAGTCACAGAGCCCTGTGGCACTGGAGCTAAAGCAGACAAATGAGAGAGCAGAATCAAGTCCAGACCACACAGCACGGTCACCCGATTTTCAATAAAGGTACTCACACAATGCAATGGTGGAGAATGACCAACGGTCTTGGAAATAAATGGTTCTGGAGCAACTGATTAACTGGAAGGGGCAAAACTGGACTTGACCTCTACCTCACTCCATACACAGAAATTAGTGTAAGATAGATCATAGGCTTAAATTTGAAAACTAAAATAATAAAGCTTCTGGAATAACATGTTCAAGAATATTTTCATGACCTCAAAGTAAGAAAGGTCTTAGGTTAGTACAACCACAGAAAAAAAGCCGAGAAACTGAAAAGCAGGAAGGCCCTTGTGCAAGAAACCGAAAAGTAGGGCCCTTGTGCAAGCACCAACTCAAGGGCTCTGCTTCATGAGGCTCTGGGGAACTGCTGATTGATAACTGATGCTGCTGACTAAGCACAGAATGCCCCTACCCACAGCTTCAGGACATGCTAAAAACAAGTGCCACTCCAAGGGACAAATATTTTCTCTCCCTCTCTCCTTCCCCTCTAAAAATAAATAAATAAATATTAAAAAAAAAAAAAAAACAAGTCCTTCAAGGATGGATTGAGCAACAGAAATATCACCTGGTGCCACTGAGACTAGTCCTGCAACGTTACCAGAAATGGTCAGAACTAAAGTCTGAACATAACTGGGAAAATACTCAGAGGTTGAAGAAACTGTTGAAAAACTCACAGATGTGGTGGGGAGACTCTTTGAGATGGTGGGGACAGTCACAGAGCCATTCCCAGAGAGAGAGGGGAGACCCACAGAGAAAGAGGAAAGGCGCCCAGAAACAGAAGGGAGACCTCCAGAAGTAGAGGAAAGACACCCAGAGATACAGGGGAGATTGACAGAGGCAGTGGGGAGATCCCCAAAAGTAGAGGGGAAACCCCCAGAGACAGAAGAGACTGTCAGATAGTGGGGATGCCTCCAGCTGCAGTGGTCCTTAATGGGGCAGCTGAGCTGTTGGAAAAGAACAATATGATCAGGTTAGAAGAGTCGACCACATCCCTGGGTCTTCACCCCAACATGAAGCACCACTTTTGAGTCCATGGTCATTATGTATGGCAAAGGCCTGCAGACCCACAAGCAGCACTAGCATGGCATCGATGGTGCCTGCCCAGGTGCCTTTCCAGACCTGTTGCTGGAGCTTTTTAAAAGGTTCAGAGGCCCATTACGTACCTCTGGAGAGCCAGGTGTGCCAGGACCTCCATCAAAACCGGGATCCCCATATACGGAGAGGTCAGCAAGCTGTCCCCAGAGGATTAACCTGTCCCAGCCTGATCCCAGGAAGCATGGGTGAGGAGGACAGAGCGTAAGAGCCTGAAGATGCCCTACCTGGCCCTTTTCCCAGCCTCTTACCTGGCTCTTCCCAGACTAGGACCTATCCCCCAGGCCCGAGTGAGCCCCCCACCTGTACCATCCTGAAAGGGTGGTACAGGTGTCCTATCCCCAGGTCCTCCTATTGATGCCAGAAGTACAACTGTTGAGGGTGAGGACATATTGGTCTCTAGAAGCAGCAGGAATTGGGAGCTGGGTAGGGCTGGAGATCATGGCCTGGGGACTGCATCTGACCCTTAGGAAACCCAGGACAGGGTAGGACCTGAACCACTTTCATCCACATGGCTCCAGCCCGAAAGTTTTCCATTCCTTTGATGGACAAGAGGAGCAGCAGGGAAGACCACATTGTGTTCAGAGACAGTGCATTGCAGAAGTTCAGAAACCACCTCTGGAGCCTGCCTGCCCTGAACCCACCACTTCCCAACTGTGTAGCAACCCAGATGTGTCTCCACTCCTAAAACAAGGAGATCTAGCCCCTAGGGTACAGGGGCGTGATGAGCATCAAAGGGAACGTCTCTAACATGACTGGCACACAGCATCAGCTGTGGTTACCTAGAAAGGGAAAGACACAGGTGCTCCCCTCTCAAGAAGACTCAGAAAAGAAAAACAAAACAAAAAATTGTAAAAAATACGAATGAAAAAAGAAGACTCAGATGCCTCAGAGCACCTCTCCACCTTGTGCCCGCTGCTCCTACCTGCAGGCCTGCTAATCTTTCTGTCCATTTACTCCTCACTGCAAGTCTGGCAGTCCCATTGATGGCAGAGACATCTTCCTCCATCTCTGCCTCCATTCTTCCGTGCTTGGGCCCTCTGGTTTTCAGAGGGAGGGGAGGTTACATACAGAAGCAGATGGGAAGATGTTACTTTGTGTGTTCCAGGGGCTGGTGTGACTGGTCTGTCAATCTTGTCCGTGTATCTGGTGTGCCTGGCATTATAAGGGATGAGTTCTAGTCTCTCTGCTACTGACTTACTGTGTGACCTTAGTTATTCACCCTCTCTGGGCCATATTTCCTAGTGTTTAAAGAAAGATGATCCCCAAACTTTCCTCTACATATCCGTCCTGTGTTTGCCATTCTGAGGGCCTGTGTAACTAAGTAGATGAGGGTATCCCCTTTTGCCTGAACACAAAAAGTGAAAGAGGAGGAGGATTTGATAAAACCTGTGTCGCCACTTGAGTGTCTGGGATGCTGTAGAGCAACTAACAACATTCAAAGATGAAAGTTTCACACTACCCAGATTTTTCACCTAGAAAGTCACTGTGGCTGGGGGAACACGACACCTGGGTTTGGGAAGAAACTTGACTTAATCCAACCCTCCCTTTTCGGCCCACATTCCTGAGCCATTTGGTGACCTGAAAGATGGGAATTGTAGTTAATAATTAATCCCTAAAGAGCAATGAGAGGCCCCAGCCTGGGTGGGGTTTAGACAACTGCAAGAGGGGCACCTCCTCCACTTCGCTCTCTGCAGAACCAAGCACCCGTGGGGGATGGGTGAAGAGGGACCACCCACTGTTTTCCCAAGCAGCTCAGTGAATGGCCCTCTCCTGGGTCCTCAAAGTCACACGGGGAGAACTGGAAAATCCAGTTACCCGGCTTCCCCCTCCCATTTCCCCCCAAATGCCTGTGCTAAGGATTGGCTGTAGAAAGGTAGGCTGGGTAAGGAAAGGCCAGAGGGTCCTTCGGACATCTCTTCTGTCCATCAAGAAGTGAGGCCGCCACAATGGGGACCAGACTAACCCTCTTCTTCCTCCTGACCCTCTTTGGCAGCTCACATGGAACAGGTGAGGGCTAGAGGGCTGGACACAAGGGTCCTCATGGCAAGAAGAGGCCAAGAAGGGGAGAGAGAAAGAGGTACCCAAGTCCTGAGCTCCCCAGAATTCAGGAGTGAACTCTGCCTTGAGAAGATCTGAAAGGGCTTTTTGGGAAGAGGGAGGCTGGCAGGAGTGAGGCAGGAGGGTTGCCCACATCTCCAGCCCTGGTAGCTGGGTCCTAAGCTACACCTCTGGATCGCTAGGGCCACGAATGACTCTGCAACTGAAGCTGAAGTATTCCCTTCTTGCAAATTCACCCTATGATTCCAGCTCCCTGGAATTGCTCAAGAAGGTAGGTTTTGGGGAAGGGAAAGGATGGGGTTGTGTGAACTCAGATTGTGTTTCGGAGTTGCTTTGGGTCTCTCTGCTGGCACCTGGCCATTCTAGGTCTGAGAGCCATTTTACACCTCACTCTCTAACCCTTTCTCTCCCCCCCACCCAGTTCTGCCTCCTCCTCCACCTCCCATCAGGAACCAACGTCACCCTCAATCAGGCTGGATCCCCACAGCACATTACTTGTGAAGTCTGAGAGCAATCAGAGCCTGTGCCCCTCTTGGATGGGGTGTTTGCCCCCTCCCCGCCTGGTGCAGGGGGAATACCCGGGCCCTGTCTTCCAGCAGGCCCTCACCTGCTAAGTGGCAGGAAATATGCTGAATTAAATGACTTTGTGGATTTGTGAGCCCACTGTAATAAAAGCTTTGGACACCCGAGACTGTGTCTGACTCTCCTTTGAAAAGCAGAGGGTTTCCGGGATGGACTCGCTGTCCCTCAATGCCAGTTTCAAAGGCCTAGAGGGAATCTAGGGAATTAACGGGGACACACACACCCCCAAACGCACATACACAGGGACATGAACACACACTTCAATTCGAGATCTTCAAAACACCTGGGAATAAGGGAAAGACCCATGTATTGAACTCATACTTTGCTCCAGGTGTAACACTTCCCCAGGCCAATGCTTGCAGCAGTATTAAATACAGCATAATAGGTATTATCTGATTTTATAGATCAGGAAGTTGAGGCTTAGAAAGGACAGGCCACTCATCTCACATCCGTTTGAGTGGAGAAGTCAGACACCAGACAAATGGCTTAAGCCACATTTTTGTTTCTTCTCCCATTGCTTAAGCTTTGGGGCTGGGGGCTCAGAATCCAGACAGGGATGTGGACAGACACCCACAGGACATGGGTCTCCCTCCAACTCCTGCAAGGCTTTGCTTAAATCTCACTTCTACAGTGAACTGTACCCTGCCCCTCCGCCCGTTAATACTACAACGTGCTCCCACACACACACCCCAGTCCCCCTACCTTGTTCTACACTTTCTTTCTCACAGCGTTCATGACCTTCGGACACACTCTGTATTTTACATCTTTGCATGTTACTTCTGACTTTCCCTGCTATAACCGAAGTACTACCAGGGCAGAGATCTTTGTTTCTTTCATTCACTGATAAATCCAAGGGTGGGCACACAACAGGGCCCAGTACATAGCAGGTGCTCCAGAAATACTTACTGACCTTGGGGAAGAGAAACAGGAAGCTGCCCATTCCCTCCTTTTGCTCTTCCTTCTGGGTGGGAATGTGAATGTGCTGTTGGGGACTGGAGCAGATCTTAGGTTGTTAGAAAAAGTGTATCAAGAGTGGAAGGAAAATGTTAAAAAGGGTGACTCTTCTGCCCAGAGAAGAGGTGACACTTACTCATCTAAGCTGCCATGATAACATGAAGTGTGATTACAGCAACCAGAAAGAATTTACACCTAATTTATTGGGTTGAATCCCAGTTGATACTTTATACAAGCTAATTTTATTCTCTGAGCACATTTCTTCATATGTGAAATGAACACCCCCACCTCTGAGGTTCTCAGGGTTAAATAGCACCAGGGAGGCCCCCGCCATTAGAAGCCTGCCATAAACAGTAGATAATCTGAGTCACTGGACAGAATGGAACCTGGGCACCAGAGAGTCAGCCCCTGATTCCCACTAAGATGAGACAAGATGTTTGGGGTGGGGAGGTCGGCATCTGCCCATCTTATGTACCTCTGTCAGGGGCTAGGAAGGGTGTCCCTGGCACTCTGGTCTCAGGTACACACAGGGAGGGGCACTCTCTGCAGCCCCTCAGCACCCCTGGGGATTGAGCCAAGGAGCAAGGAAGTAGAGAAGTGTCAGCAGAAGTTGGGGCGCTGTTGATAAGTCTCAGAAGCAGGCGGAACTCGGATGAGAAAGGAGAATTCTCATAGGCCTCGGAAGTGAGGCCTATGAGAATTCCCTTTCCTCCACGAGGTAGGCACTTCCCAGCATCCGCACTCCCACTGTGGCCCAAACCGAGCCTGAAGAAGAGGCAGCCCTCCTCCTTTCCCAGACCAGAGTCTCAGGGAACAACGGAAAGGCAAGGAAGTCACCACTGAGGGAGAGATAAAAGAACCACAGGCATGTGTGTTTAAAATTTTAAAAGTATATCTGAATCTCCTCATGCCTAAGCTTCCAGGTGGGACTACACAGGAGGGAAGCAGGGGCAGGATGTGAGCACCTCAAGTAACCCACACTCTGACCAAGCTGGTTTGTTCCCATAAACAAGGGAGGTGGACCACGTGGTCTCTGAGGCACCATCTCACCAGCCGCTGCAGAATCAGTCTGTTCTCAAAGGCAGGCCTGAGAGGGTAGAGAACCGCCAGAGACAGTGAGTGAGAGCTCAGGGTTCCTTGGAGCTAGGAGATGCATCCATCAGCTGCCGGAGGTGAGAAGCCGCCTTGTCCAGTTTTGACAATTCCAGCTGGATGGAAGAAAGCTGGACAGGGCGGGAAGCAGGTAAGGATCCAGGTATGAGACCCACCCTCCTCCCAACACATTCCCTCAGGGAGGTGAGCTCCCTGGGTGGCCTCCCAGCCTTACCCTCTGCTGCCTTTGAGTCTCTGCCTCTTTCTCTGATGGGGTCCAGGCTATGAGGCCATCAAACTGCTTCTGCAACTTGTGTCTTCGGGCAGCCAGCAGAGGAAGATGGGCCTGAGGGTCCACCAGGCCCTGTGAGGGAAGAGAGACATCTATGGCTCACCCAGTACTTCCTTCCTCTCCATCCTAAGACCCTTCTGCACTTTTATAAAACTCACTCTTGCCCTCTTCCCAACATCCTTTTTGACCCCTCCCACACTCCAATCTCCTCTGAGCACCTGTAGCTCCATGTAGATCTGAATGGTGTCACTGACAGAGGCCTGGGCCCAGCCAGAGGGAGCAGCTGTGTCAGCAGGTAAGAGGCCCACAGCCCCACAGCGGCCCAGGGTGCCCAGCGGCTCCAGGAAGGCCTCAAAGGCATGCTGCTCTCCAGGCCCTGAGCTCTGCAGCAGCACTGGAAGGAAAGGGAATCTGTCAAGGCCCATGACCCTGCCTCCCTTCCCATCCTGCACCTTCTACCCTGGGCCCCGACCCCAGGCTTCCGCCTCTGCCCTGCCAGCCCCTTCTTTCTGCAGGGACACCTCACCTCGAGGCCGGGCCTTGGTGAGCTGGTACGTGGCTTGAAGAGCCCTCAGTGCCTGCACAGCCTCCTGGACCCTAGAAAAGCGCTGCTCCAGCTCAGGCTGGTGCCAGTGTTCCTACAGACGGGGACCCAGAGTTGACCAGCAGGCTCCTGGGACTCCTGTACCAACTCTCCTGGCTCTATCCTCTATCCGCCCAGCCCACCCCCCTGCACCACCTCAAGGATGGAACATAGCAACAAACTGGGGAGTCATCTAAGGTCTTAAATGATCAGTGGTTGACATCTGTTGAGTCACTCTGACTGAAGGTGGCAAACAACCAAAAATAAAATTTAAAACACATTATTCAAAACTCACAAAGCCACATAACTCACAAAAACCACATAATTAAAAACAACTTAGTTAAGCTTTGAAATGATGTTTTGGGGTTAAGTTTCCTGCATTTATCCTTCTCAAATTATTTAAGTTTAAAACTGCACTGAGACTTTTGTGCTATCCTATCACTAACATCTAATCGTCACCACAACCATGACATTGACCACTGCTATCCCCAGTCTAAAGACGGAGGAACCAAGGCACAGTTACACAGCTAGCAAGGATCAGTCTAGTGGCAGTCCTGCTCCTGTCCACCATGTGACACTGCTCCCCAAGACAGTGCTACAGAACAATCCATCTCCCCAAAGACTCTAAAGCACAATCCGCTACTATCTGTGGCCCCACGGCAGCAACCCTTTTCAGAACATTACTCCCCAACCCTCACGCACTAGTCCTGCTCCAGGAATGTGTATGACTCACCAAGCTGCTGGCACTGGGGTAGGGGGCAACAGAGATGCTGGGTGCGGGGAGGTGGCCTGGCCTGGCAGGTAGCCTCTGCCAGAGCTCCTCAGCCAGGAAGGGCATGAGTGGGGCAAGCAGGCGCAGCCCAATGTCAGCACAGGAGAACAGCACCTGAGGAGGCCCAGCGGGGCAGGGGCAGTGTGACAGCCGGGGCTTCACAGCCTCCTGGGGAAGAAGCCTGTAGGTCAGGAGAAAGGGCTGGGCCACAGCCATAGCCTTGCCCCCTCCACACACCGGCAGCCCTACCAGTTGGGACGCTGTGGGTAAGAAGCGTGGCGCAGCTTGGACACCATCAGCTATCCCACAGAAAGGGAGTTTCGGGCAGGGATTCTCGGAGGTGGATGGGGAATCAAATTGTCGGGAAGGTCAGGTAGTTTAGACAAAAAAGAACTGAGGCTTTGCTTACAAAAGAAACAGAATTTTTTTAAATGGTTGAGAAACAGTGATGCAGGCAGCAGTCCTGAGCTAGCAGCATCGCCTGGGTCAAGCAGTGACAATTTTCACTGCACCATCCTGCCTGGTGAGACAGCATTCAGAAGAGGTGGGGCACAGGTTAACCAGTGGTCCCTCCCAATGATTCCCACACAGGATTAAGTGTGAGAACCCGGGGTCTGAAGACCATTCTACTTCCTCCTTATCCATTTATAGCTCCCAGCCTGCCCAGGGTCCAAACTCAGCAATCAAAGGCTAAAGATGAAGCTCCATCTGCCTCCTGACCCTGCTTTGTCAGACTCAGTTTTCCAGAAGTATCCCCATACCCTCCTCTCTCCCCAGGTGACAGGCAGGGAACAGTGGCCAGGCTAGTTGCGGGAAAGAGGGAAAATGGGATTCCCTGGCTCACCCACCTTCCTGCCCTAACAGAGGGGACGATCGGGAACCTTGCTGAGAGCTCTCTGCCAGGGAACCCAATCGTCAGGGGATAAGGAGCAAGTCTGCAGGAATGCAATGCATACCAGCCCTAGCCCCACTCACCAAGTAGACATCACAGAGGCTGTGGAGCCAGAAGTGGCGCAGGGCATGGGTGGCAACTGGGAGCTCTCGGGTGAGGAAGCCTCGCTCACACTCTCGGGTAGTGTGGGCCAGACGGCTCAGGATCCAGGAATCCATTGGGGTGGAGGGGGACAACTGCAGCAGAAGAGGGGTGCAAGATGGGGGCAGCTCAACGGCCACTCCTTGCCTTTCCTTCTGGATGCCGTCTTCCACCTCAAACAGCAGACGTCCCTGCTTCCACGCACCTCTTCTTTCTCTCTTACCTCCTCTGCAGGCTGGGGTGTGAATTTCTCCCCTAGGACATTGAGGATAAAGCGCAGGGCATTCCAGATCTTGTTGCAGAAATGTCGGGAGCTCAGGACCTCAGAGACAGACAGGTGTAAGTCACCTGCTGGGAGGGAGAAAAAGCAGAGAAT